ACCCAGGCTGGAGTGCAATGGCGCGATCTCGGCTCACCGCAACCTCCACCTCCTGGGTTCAGGCAATTCTCCTGCCTCAGCCTCCTGAGTAGCTGGGATTACAGGCACGCGCCACCATGCCCAGCTAACTTTTTGTATTTTTAGTAGAGACGGGGTTTCACCATGTTGACCAGGATGGTCTCGATCTCTTGACCTCGTGATCCACCCGCCTCGGCCTCCCAAAGTGCTGGGATTACAGGCTTGAGCCACCGCGCCCGGCTAATTTTTAAATTTTCAGTAGAGACGAGGTCTCATGATGTTGCCCATGCTGATCTCAAACTCCTGGGTCAAGTAATTCTCCCACCTCAGCCTACCAAAGTGCTGGGATTAAAAAATCCAAGCTGTGCCACCACACCTGGCCAACAATCTTTTTTTATTAAATCTTTATTCTGTTTCATTTTCCATTTAAGATTCCTATGGCCATAATACTCAAGTCAGAAACTCGCCATAGTGTCTTCAGTCTCCAAACTGACTTCTCCACAGATAACTGATCACATCAATATGACCATTTTTCAAACTCCTTCACCTTCCTTCCCTTCTACCACATTGTTATCCATTTTCACTTCTATCTTTTTGGTGTCAAAGGACAAAATGCCTGACATATTTCCTAGATGAACTTTCCCCTCAACTTACAGAATTGTTTCATCTGTACTGAAAAGTAAAACACACATGGGCCCTAATGGAAGGAACACAGGTTTCAGAACTTGACATACCTGCTCAAATCCTTGTCTTCAGTATTGTCAACTGTAAAAGAGGGATACTGACATCTAAACGACAAGCCTGTTGTGATCTATAAAGCGTCTTTGCCGGGCGCGGTGGCTCAAGCCTGTAATCCCAGCACTTTGGGAGGCCGAGGCGGGTGGATCACGAGGTCAAGAGATCGAGACCATCCTGGTCAACATGGTGAAACCCCGTCTCTACTAAAAATACAAAAAACATTAGCTGGGCATGGTGGCGCGTGCCTGTAATCTCAGCTACTCAGGAGGCTGAGGCAGGAGAATTGCCTGAACCCAGGAGGCGGAGGTTGCGGTGAGCCGAGATCGCGCCATTGCACTCCAGCCTGGGCAACAAGCACCAAACTCCGACTCCAAAAAAAAAAAAAAAAAAAAAAAAAAAGCGTCTTTATGTACCTGGCATATAGTATATTCTCAATAAAGACAAGTTTCATTAGTATTAGCTCTCCTTCACAATCAAACTCTGGATAATGATTTTACTCACTTCCTCTTATTAATAACTCAATCCATCATGATCTCACTACTGCCTTCACTGCCATCCTACCAAAACTGCCTTTCAGAGGAAACAAGTGACCTCCTAATTGCTAAATTCAGGGCAGGTGGGGCACGGTGGCTCATGCCTCTAACCTCAGCAATTTGGGAGGCCAAGGAAGGCAGATAGCTTTGAGCTCAGGAGTTTGTGACCAGCCTAGGCAACACAGATAAATCCCATCTTTACAAAAAATTATCTGGGTGTGGTGGCTCCTGCCTGTGTTCCCAGTTACTCAGAAGGCTGAGGTGGAAAGATTGCCTGAGATCTGGAGGCTGCAGTGAGCCAAGATTGCGCCACTGCACTCCAGCCTGGGTGACAGAGTGAGACTCTGCCACCAAAGAAAAAAAAAGAAAATTCAGGGCTTCTTTTTTTTTTTAATAACATGGGGTTTCACCATGTTGGTCAGACTGGTCTTGAACTCCCAACCTCAGGTGATCCGCCCGCCTTGGCCTCCAAAGTGCTTGGATTACAGGTGTGAGCCACTATGCCCGGCCAGGGCTTCTTAATTCTTATTCAGCTGGACCTCTGGAGCACAGGACATTGATAGTCACCCCCTCCCTTCCTGAAATCCTTTCTTTGGCTCCTATGATAATACTGTTACGTTCTAGTTCTTGTCCCATTCCCTTTTTCAGTGTCTATTACCTTTCAAACAATGATGCTCCTTCTGGTCCACAGTGCTTCTCCTCTTTCAGTATTACCATTCCATACTAAGGCATGCAAATATCCCCCATGTATTCTCTTGACCCTCTAAATTTATGTATCTGGGTCCAAGCTTTCTCCCAATTTTCAGATCCGAATTTCCAGCTACCCACAGTGATATCAAAACACCTCAAACTCGGCTAAGAGCAGCAGCTCACGACTGTAACCCCAGCACTGTGAGAGGCCAAGGCAGGCAGATCACCTGAGGTCAGACGTTCGAGACCAGCCTGGCCAACATGGGGAAACCCCATCTCTACTAAAAGTACAAAAATTAGCTGGGCCTGGTGGCACATGCCTGTAATCCCAGCTATTCAGGAAGCTTAGGCAGAATTGCTTGAACCCAGGTGGAAGAGGTTGAAGTTTGCCAAAATCATGCCACTGCACTCCAGCCTGAGTGACAGAATGAGACTCTGTCTCAAAAACAAACAACCCTGAAACTTAACTTGTTCAAAACCAAATTCATGGCTGAGAGTGGTGGTGGCTTGTGCATGTAATCCTAGCACTTTGGGAGGCCGAGGCAGGCAGACCACCTGAGGTCAGGAGCTCAAGACCAGCCTAGCCAACATGGTGAAATCCCATATCTACTAAAAATGCAAAAATTAGCCAGGCATGGTGGCAGGTGCCTGTAATCCCAGCTCCTCAGGAGGCTGAGGCAGGAGAATGGCTTGAACCTGGGAGACGGAGGTTGCAGTGAGCAGATCGGGCCACTGCACTCTAGCCTGGGGGACAAGAGCCAGACTTCGTCTCAAAAAAAAAAAAAAAAATTCATTACCTTCCCTCAACATTGCTTATTTATGCTCCCTATTTGAGACGAGATCGGGCAAGTTCAGGGTGGTATGGCCAGATACTGTGTTCCCTATTTCAATTAACACTACCGACTCACACCATCACCCAAGTCAGAAACTTCCTACTATTCCACTCAACTCTATTTGAAACCTCTTGGAATTTCGTGCCATTCTCTCCCGCCTGGATGAGCACACTCGTTTTCTGCCTGCCTGGCCTTTCCGCCTCTACAAGGTCTTCACCTTCAATCCTTCCTCTATATTTTCACCAGAGATAATGCAATCATACCAAACTCCTGCTTACAAAACCTTCAACGGCTCCCCATGCCCGTAGCATAAAGTCCAAATTCCTCAGCAAGTTCTTCTCAGCGGTATACCATTTAAAGCTTTTTAAATTACACAAACCTGGGTTCCACTTCTAGCAAAATCTAAACACTGGCTTAGTTCAGTCTTCAAACTGAAGCGTAAAAAGCAGAGAGAGGAAAGCAGTGGAGATGATGACAAGGAAGGAAAGAAGGGGGGAAGGCAGTAGGGTCTGAGGGGAGGGAAGTGTTTTCCCGTGTAGAGGTGAACCGTTTCGAGGGAAGAGTGTGTCTGAGTGAAGTCAAGTGAAGAAGCCCAGATCTCTGAGGCAGAAGCGGGTATGGGAGCAGGGAGGCGCTCAGAGGGGAGCTGGAAGTCTCTGAAACAAGAGTTTTCCGAGAAAACGAAAGATCCCTGAATATCTGAAGTGAGAAAGGTCTCTAATGCGAGCGAGGTAACTTCTAATGGGTTCCCAGGTTCTAAGGGGGAACAGACGTGGCAGGGAGCCTGAGGGAAGTGAGAAGGAAAGGGGAAAGCGGCCGGGAAGGGAGCGTCCGCCGCCGCTGAGAAGGGGACCTCTGGGAAGCCGAGGGGTGCCGTCGGGTTCGGAGGGACGCAAGCCCCTCTGCTCCGGGACCGAGGAGGTGGAGCGACAGCGCGCGCGGGCCGGGCGGGATGCCGGGGGTTGTGTCCCCCGTCCTCTCTTCACTTTACCTGAGGCAGGACTGAGCAGCCAGAGGGGTGCCTGCTCGGGCAGGAGGGGGAGGCGGCGGCAAAGAGGGAGCATAGTAACCCTCACAGCTCGGTGGTGGCAGCGGCTCCTTAGCCTGCGGAGGCGGTGGGAGTCCCTCGCGCAGAAGCCGGCGACTCAGCGGAGCTAGCGGCGGCGGAGAACGAGGAGGCTACTGCCATGGCCCCACAGTCGGGGCCGCTCCCCCCGCCTGTTTGGCGGGGCCAGGAGGACAATCCGACCAGAGAAACCAAGAAGGCAACTGGTAGCGCTGCTGAGCTCCCGGGCCGCGAGAGACTGAAACGCCTGCCCGGCCCAGCAGGGGGGCCGGAGGCGGGGTCTCGGCTGGCCACGCCCCCCTCAAGCCCTCCCTCAGAGTAGCCAATCAACCGTCAACTCCTGATAAACGAGCTAGTGGAATTGCCCAATTAGCGCTAGGAATGCCACGTGGTATGAGGGTGGGCACAATGGGCGTCCAGAAAAGCCAATCAACAGCCGTAGGCGCCAACTCCGGAGAACGAAGGGAACGAATAGGGAGGAAGGCGAGGTAAAAACAGAAGAAGCTGTGTGTGGGAAAGGCGGAACCGAGGAGGAGGGAATACACCTGGGGGAAACCCAAGTCCAGGCGCCTCTTAGAGGGCGGGGCGGTAAACACAAGATGGACCAATAAATATGTTAAACACAGAAACGATTGGTAACTTATAAAACCAATTGAAAATGGAATAGACTGGCGCTGCTTTCGGGTTGGTCAAGGTATTGGCGAGTAAAGAAAAGCGGTAAGAATGCGGCGTCCTGCAGGATCTCAGTATAGTGAGGAGGAAAAATATATATAAATAATAGCGACTCGAAATAGAGCAATCAGTAGAGCTAAACAAAATGCTAGGGAAGCAATTAATCAGGACTAAGAGATTCGATTCGGTGAAGGCTTAGAGGAGATAACACTTCAGCTAGCTTGAAAACAGATTTTGAAAGAAAGCTGGTGGGGAATAAGTTGGGGTTTTTTGTTGGGTTTTGTTTTTCTGGGTTTTTTTGGGGTTTTTTTTTTTTTTTTTTTAAGAAGGGTCTCACTCTGTCGCCCAGGATGGAGTGCGGTGGTGATCATGGTTCACTTGCAGCCTCAAACTCCTGGACTAAGATGATCCTCCCAATTCAGCCTCCAGGGTATAGCTGGGACTAGAGGTGCACACCACCATGCCCAGCTAATTTTTTGTAGTTTTAGTAGAGACGGGGTTTCACCATGTTGACCAGGATGGTCTGGATCTCTTGACCTCGTGATCCACCCGCCTCGGCCTCCCAAAGTGCTGGGATTACAGGCTTGAGCCACCGCGCCCGGCCCATTTTTTTTTTTTTTTTTTTTTCTAATATTGAGACTTCCTCTGTGACCAGACTGGAGTGCAGTACTGCCATCTCGGCTTACTGCAATCTCAGATTCCCAGATTCAAGTAATTCTCCTGCCTCAGCCTCCCTAGTAGCTGGGACTACAGGTATGTGCCACCACACCCAGCTAATTTTTTTTTTTTTTTTTAAGAGATGGAGTTTCACCTTGTTGGCCAGGCTGGTCTCAAACTCCTGACCTCAGGTGATCCACCCACCTCAGCCTCCCAAAGTGCTGGGATTACAGGTGTGAGCCACAGCACCTGGCCTATTTTTTTTATTTTTAGCAGAGACAGGGTTTCACTGTATTGGCCAGGATGATCTCAATCTCTTGACCTCATGATTTGCCCACCTCGGCCTCCAGAAGTGCTTGGATTACGGGCGTGAGCCACCGCACCCAGCCCAATTTTTTGTAGAGACAGTTTGCCATGTTGCCCAGGCTGGTCTGGAACTCCTGGACTCAAGTGATCCACCCACCTCGGTCTCCCAGGGTGCAGGGATTACAGATATGAGCCACTGATTTCAGCTAAGAATTTTGCCCGGCTGTTCAACAGGCACATATTTCTTCACTCTTTCCATGTGCCTGGACCTCAGTAGCTCATAATCTTATGCGTGAGGAAACTGGAACAGGAGGAGGGCAAGAGCAAGCAGTATGGGCTTTTCTGTATCAGCACTCCCAGGGGTTAGAGACCCCTTTTCAGACATCTTTAGACTCCCATCCTCCTGGAAGAGTATAGGTGGTATGCATTCCTAGTGGCAATAAAGTTTAAGAAATATGGCCAGGCACGGTAATTCATTTCTGTAATCCCAGCACTTTGGGAGGCCAAGGTGGATCACTTGAGGCCAGGAGATTGAGACCAGCCTGGGCAACAAAGCAAGACCCTGTCTGTACAGAAAAAAAGTTAGCCTGGCATGGTGGCATGTACTTGTGGTCCTAGCTGCTTGGTAGGCTGAGGCTGGAAGATCACCTGAGCCCAGGAGGTCAGGGCTACAGTTAGCTGTGGATGGTGCCACTGCACTCCAGCCTGGACAGCAGAGCAAGACCCTGTCTCAAAAAATAAAAAGAAGCAAAGAAGTGTGGTAGGAGATATTGGAGAGAGAAGAGGCTGCATGTGGGTTGGGCTTAAATGCCAATTTTCAGATTTGTCCTTTGTTTATGTTGTGAGAGCTATTCTTGAGCAGGACCATAAACTAAACAGGGCAGTGTTAGGAAGATTAATTGGTAGGTAGCTCACAGAATCTCTGAAGGGAGAAGAGAGATCACCCCAGCCCAGTCCCCCTGACCAAAGGCTTCTGATCTCAAGTGATCCCCCTGCCTTGGCCTCCCAAAGTTCTGGGATTAAAGGTGTGAGCCACTGCGCTCAGCCTACAGCTGTACCTTCTGAGTACAAGCTCAATGGAACTTGGAAAGAGATGGGAATAAATCATGTGCTGCCACCTGGTGACAGCTCAAATAACAATTTTCCACATTTCTATTTAATATTTCTGTTGAGGTTGGGTATGTTGGCTCAGGCTGTAATCCCAAATTTTGGGCTTTTGGAGACTGAGGCAGGAAAATCACTTAAGCCCAGGAGTTCGAGACTAGCCTGGGTAAGACGGTGAAACCCTGTCTTTACAAAAAGTACAAAAAATTAGCTGTGCATGGTGGCGCATGCCTGTGGTCCTCGATACTTGGGAGGCTGAGGTGGAAGGATCGCTTGATCCCAGGAAGCTGAGGCTCCAGTGAGCTGTGATCTCACCACAGCACTCCAGCCTGAATAACAGAGTGAAACTCTATCTCCAAAAAAAAAAAAAAATGGACCCACGCAGTCCATGTTCCACGTTGTCCAAGTAGTGAAAGGATCAGGATCATTAGTCACAAGGCATTTTTAAATGAAATATAATAAATAGAAAATATCAGAGTATATCACTTCTACTAAGGAAAAAATTAAATCATAAAATTTTAGTTTCACTTAATAAATCTAAACAAATATTTACTATGTCACAATATAAATTGTATTTCTTTTTTTTTTTTCTTGAGACCAAGTCTCGCTCTGTCACCCAGGCTGGAGTGCAGTGATGTGATCACAGCTCACTTCAACCTTCGCCTCCCGGGTTTATGCAATTCTCTGCCTCAGCCTCCCAAGTAGCTGGGATTACAGGCACCTGCCACCATGCTCGGCTAATTTTTGTAATTTTGGTAGAGACCGGGTTTCACCATGATAGCCAGGCTGGTCTTGAACTCTTGACCTCGTGATCCACCTGCCTTGGCATCCCAAGTGCTGGGATTACAGGTGTGAGCCACCATGCCCAGCCAGTAAATTGTATTTCTTACTGTTGTATTTCTTATTTCACAGCCAATTTTTGTTTTGAGATGGAGTCTTGCTCTGTCACCCAGGCTGGAGTGCAGTGGTGTGATCTCAGCTCACTACAATCTCTGCCTCCTGGGTTCAAGCGATTCCCCTGCCTCAGCCTCTGGAATAGCACACACCACCACACCCGGCTAATTTTTGTATTTTCAGTAGAGACAGGGTTTTGCCATCTTGGCCAGGCTGGTCTTGAACTCCTGACCTCAGGTGATCAGCCCACCTTGACCTCCCAAAGTGCTGGGATTACAGGCATGAGCCACCGTGCCTGGCCCAAAAAATTCTTAAAGCCACTGGATTAAAGGCAGAGACACTGAAAGAAGAGACCAGGGAAGAGGCTGCTACAGAAATGCAGTCTGGGCTGCTAAGGATGATGTGTGAAGATGCTGGAAAGAGACTCAAGCGGCAGAAGCTGGGGCCAGGCATGGAGCTCACACCTGTAATCCCAACACTTTTGAAGGCCAAAGCAGGGGGATCAGTTGAGCCCAGGAGTTCGAGACCAGCCTGGGCAACATGGTGAAACCCCATCTCTAGAAAAAATACAAAAAAATTAGCCAGGCGCCAGGTGCGGTGGCTCACGCCTATAATCCCAGCACTTTGGGAGGCCGAGACAGGGGGATCACAAGGTCAAGAGATCGAGACCATCCTGGTCAACACAGTGAAACCCCGTCTCTAGTAAAAATACAAAAATTAGCTGGGCATGGTGGCGCATGCCTGTAGTCCTAGCTACTCGGGAGGCTGAGGCAAGAGAATTGCTTGAACCCAGGAAGCGGAGGTTGCGGTGAGCCGAGATTGCGCCATTGCACTCCAGCCTGGGTAATAAGAGTGAAACTCCGCCTCAAAAAAAAAAAAAATTAGCCAGGCATGATGGATGGCGTGCGCCTGTAATCCCATATATTATTACTTGGGAGGCTAAGGTAGGAGGATTGCTTTAGCCCAGGAGGGAAAGGCTGCAGTGAGCCAAGATCATGTTACTGCACTCCAGTGTGGGCAACGGAGTGAGATCTTGTCTCAAAAAAAAAAAAAAAAGGCAGAAGCTGGAGATGAGGAAAGGTAGCCTCCTCCTGTCCAGATCCAGGTCCCACCAGAATATCTCATTCTCCTTTGCATCCCTCAGCACTACTGCCCCAGAGCAGTGTCCTACCTCATTCTACTCACTAGAATGGGAGCTCCCATCTCTTTCCAAGTTCAACTGAGCTTGCACTCAGAAGGTACAACTGTAGGCCAAGCACAGTGGCTCACACCTGTAATCCCAGCACTTTGGGAGGCCAAAGGAAGAGGATCACTTGAGGTCACAAGTTTAAGACTAGCTACCCTGTCTCTACTAAAAATATAAAAATTAGCCAGGCATGGTAGCGCGTGCCCATAATCCCAGCTACGCGGGAGGCTGAGGCAGGAAAACCGCTTGAACTTGGGAGGCGGAGGTTGCAGCGAGCTGCGATGGCACCACTGCACTCCAGCCTGAGTGACACAGCAAGACTCCATCTCAACAACAACAACAACAAACAGTACAGTTATAAATGTCTATGAACTTGGATTTCAAGAGTAGAGGTCATAGAAAGCACTTCAAGTAACAGGAAGATTAACAGGTATAGCTGATTCTATCCCATGTGGTGCTGACTCATAGAAAACACATCAAGGAGGGTTAAATCATTTTATTGCAGTTTGGGGGCAAGGGTGGGCAGGCAGTGAAAAGCCTCAGTAGAGAGGACAGATAACAGCTACATCAAGAGGGGAGGGGCGGGCAGCCCAGAAACAGCTTAGATTGGAGAACACAAATGGAGGTCCTGGAAAGGGAAACAGAACCAGAAACAGAGATGATGATGATGTGTCAAGGGGGCCCTTCCAGCACAGAACTGTCCTCCTGCCTGAGACTAGGACTCTGGTCTCCTCCCTTTTTTTTTTTGAGACAGAGTGCCACTCTGTCACCCAGGCTGGAGTGTAATGGCGTGATCTCGGCTCTACCTCCTGGGTTCAAGTAATTCTCCCACCTCAGCCTCCCAAGTTGCCGGGATTACAGACGCCTGCCATCATGCCCAGCTAATTTTTGCAGAGATGGAGTTTCACCATGTTAGGCAAGCTGGTCTTGAACTTTTTTTTTTTTTTTTTTTTTTTTTGAGACAGAGTTTTGCTCTTGTTGCCCAGGCTGGAATACAATGGCGCAATCTCAGCTCACTGCAACCTCCACCTCCTGGGTTTAAGTGATTCTCCTGCCTCAGCCTCCCCAGTAGCTGGGATTACAGGCATGCGCCACCACGCTCAGCTAATTTTGTATTTTTAGTAGAGATGGGGTTTCTCTATGTTGGTCAGGCTGATCTCGAACTCCCAACCTCAGCTGATCTGCCCACCTTGGCCTCCCAAAGTGCTGGGATTACAGGCATGAGCCACCATGCCTGGCGGTCTTGAACTTTTGACCTCAGGTAATCTGCACAACTCGGCCTCCCAAAGTGCTGTGATTATAGGCATGAGCTACCATGACCAGCCAATCTCCTCCCTCTTTAACATCCAAACATATAAAGGTACCTCAGTAACTCCGTATCAAGTAAAGAATGCCCTTATGGGCTACAGTCCAGATACTCATACTGCCCCCATAAGCCCAAGCCAAATCTAGAATAGCTGAACTTTGGTCCCCAGTGCCCGAACTTTGAGACAAATCCCCTCCACTGGCACAGCGCCCACACTCCCTGACCTGAAGAGATTGTGCTTCCTCCAGGCATCTTGGTCCTCTGTCCTGGCAGCCTCCAGGGTATGACCGTTGCCTTCCTGGCCACTTTGCAACTGCTCCAACATCTGTCAGATCATGGGCTCAGGTGGAACAAAACCTCTCCCTCTCTCCTTCCCCATGACTGTCATCTTCAGCACACTTGGAACCCTCATGTGGGCGAGGACAGTTTCTCACGGCAGGGAGCAGAATGGTTAGGAAAAAGAGCTCTGGAAAGAGAAAGAATCAGCACAGGAAAGAGAGGGATGGAGATAGGACAAGAGAAAGTATCCTGGCCTGTGTGCAGAACAAGAAAAATAGAGAAAGGAAAGATCCTCCATAGAGAAATATGCAGAGACGAGTCTGATCCTAGTCCTACCTTATAACTGCAGGCCTGAGACTGTCATCCCTCAGCCAGCTGTTTCAGCAGCAGCTCCTGGTGCTGGCCTGCAGATGAGAAAGAATGTAAGGGGGCTGTTCCCCAACTTCTTTCCTTCTCCCTCCCTGCCTGTGACCAGCCTGGTGCTGAAAACTGAGACAGAAACATTCTGGCTCAGCTATTGGGAAGCTTCCAAAGTGACTGAAGAGACTAAACTCACATCATGAGAGGCAGAGTGCAACAAAATACTTGGCCAGACTTCTCAGTAGCTCAGGCAGTTGGAGCCATGGTCACTTAATGGGAGAACAAGAAGACTTTCCAGGCCGGGTGTGGTGGCTCACACCTATAATCCCAGCACTTTGCAAGGCCAAGGCAGGTAGATCATTTGAGGTCAGGAGTTTGAGACCAGCCTGGCCAAAATGATGAAACCTGTCTCTACTAAAAATACAAAATTAGCCAGGCATGGTGGCGGGCACCTGAATCCCAGCTACTAGGGAGGCTGAGGCAGGAGAACTGCCTGACCCTGGGAGGCGGAGGTTGCAGTGAGCCAAGATCACGCCATTGTACTCCAGCCTGGGCAACAAGAGCGAAACTCTGTCTCAAAAAAAAAAAAAGAAGAAGAAGGCAAGGTCTTACCTATCACTTACTCAGTCTGCAGCTCCTGAGGAAGGCCATTGGTAGTACTGCACTTTCCTGGTCCTGATTGCATCTGAACTTGGGCTTGCTTCCACACCTGGCTCAGAAGGCCCATCTCAGCCCTCCCCTTTAGGCCCCCCTGCAGCAATCTTAATATGATACTATAGTGGGACTAGTTGGGGATCATCCTCTCTAAGAGTTTCAGAAGAGCCCTACATACTCTACTTGCAAATCAAGATATATGTACACATATAACATGTGTGTGGCAAAATTGTGTGCATACATATGAAGTTGTGTGTACAAAGAAAAGAACTGGCCAAATACCTTCCAGGACACTGATCTGGTACTTCTGCTGCTCTCACTCTTCTAGCAGGCCCTGCACTACCTGCCTTAGTGCCTCAGTCCCCTACCCAGGCAGAAAAAAACACATGAGCTACTGTGTAACAGATTTTCCCAACCCCTAGTATCCTCATCTCACACAAACATCACAATACACACCAAGGACTCCAAGACTTACCTGAGCCTGAGATTGAACCTGGGATCATAGAATAGTAACTTCATCTTAGAGAGAGAGGATGGGCTATAGGACTCAGGCCAGCTCAGCCTTTGCGAGGCTGTGGGAGTCTCTAAAGCCCAAAGCTGTTGAGCTTGGACTCCTAACTGCAGAGGCAAGTAGTGAGAGGAAATCCAGGTTTCAGACCGGTCCCCTGTTGAGGGAATAAGGAAGGGTTAAGTGCAGGGTCTGTGTGGGGAAACAGAGTTTAGGAAAGGACAGAGTTGGAATTTGGAAGGCACTGGAAGAAGGCACAGAAAGAGAAAGGGGTTGGAAGTAGAAAGAGACATTACTTACCTGCGGTGGAGACCCCCAGAGGGATCCGCAGCTATAAAACAAACAGTTGCACGGGCCAATGAGCTCTGAGAGTCCCTTAACCTGCCCACGCAAACTGGGGGCCTCCACCGACGCCTCACCTTAATTTGGGACACTTTTCCATCAGTAGCGTTGAGAAGCACACTGAGCTGCTCAAACCAGCTGAGGCTCCTACTCATATCCTGTGGCGGGGAGCGGCAAGGGTCTGGCTCCCTGGTGTCTTGTGCTTGCTCTCCCAGCTGGGAATATCCAATGTACAGCCCAGGAAAAGCCACCACGGTAGATGGAAAGAGGGAAGTGAGGATGCAACATTCGGGATAGGGGGATGCACTATCAGACCAAAACTGCGATTCGGGGACTAGGGAAAGGAGGGAAGTTCTTGGGGAACTGGAGGAAAAGCGAGATATTCTGATGATACGCAGATATCAGGTGGGGGTTGAAGGTGCCAGAACCTGATCAAGACCTCCCCAGAACAAGTACACTGACGCTATCACGCCAAACCTGTGCAAGCGACAACTGCCGCCGCCGAGTTCAAAACTTCGTCTTGGTTTCTAAAGTCCAACTCTGGACTGGCTGCCGCAGGGCCACCTGGGAAACTGAGTTCGCCTCTAGCGAACACAACCGGCAATGGAGGCGGAGGAACGTAGTGTACATGCACACACCCATCGTTAAGCTTACTGGGAAACTGAGTCCTCCTGATTCCGCTTGGCTGTCTCCAAGGATCAAACAAACTACGCATCCCAAGATGCATGGCGCATAGTCAATAATGTCCCGCTACTGGACCCAATGCTATCTGGGAAACGTAGTCGAAGCTGCCTTAAAACGTAACGGCTCAGTAGTCCTTGAGACTTCATTCCCCAGCAACCTCGGCGTGTAACGTGCGCTATGGAGCCGAAAGTAGCAGAGCTGAAGCAGAAAATCGAGGACACGCTGTGTCCTTTTGGCTTCGAGGTTTACCCCTTCCAGGTTAGTTTATCCGTCCTGCTGTTCTAGGGTCCTGCTGTTCTAGGGCGACATGATTGGCTTCGTTGCAACTAACATTAGGCCTCGGGAGCCTCTGATCCTCCTGGGTTCCTGTGGCCCGGTGTCCATTTGACGACAGAGAAAGAGTTTCACTGGGGGCTTGGGTTAAAAAGGTATTGGTCGCGGCCAGGCATGGTGGCTTACGCCTGTAATTCCAGTACTATGGAAGGCCGAGGTGGGAGGATCACCTGAGGTCAGGAGTTCGAGGCCAGCCTGGCCACCATGGTGAAACCCTGTCTCTACTAAAAAATGCAAAATTAGCTGGCCGTGGTGACGCATGCCTGTAATCCCAGCTACTCCGGAGGCTAAGGCAGGAGATCGCTGGAACCCAGGAGGCGGAGGTTGCAGTGAGCCGAAATCTTGCTATGGCACTCCAGCCTGGGCAAAAAGAGTGAAACTCTGTCTCAAAAAAAAAAAGTAGTTGTTGCATGTTTGTCCTTTTACCTCTATATAATGCTGAATTGGTTAAAGGGAGACATCATATGACCCATGACCTATATGACCTGTGACCTATATAATGCTGGATTGGTTAACGGGAGACACCATATGACATAACATGTGTGGCTCAGATTGTCACCTATATAAATTACAAAAAGAAAGGGACCTGTGAGGCAGAGTCACCTTGGAACTTCCTAAAGGATTTAGGAGAGGACAAAGCCTAGAAGGTTTGCATAGCTATGATTTAGGTCAGCTGAGGAGGGAAGGGCATTCCTGGTGATGAACAAACAAACAATTGGCTGGTTTGTTCCCTCTACCAACAGAAGGGTAATTCATGACATTGCCAGTCATCAGTGCTGGGCTGAGTAATGAAACTTTGTGCATTTGCCTGGCACAGCAGTCTCGGCACTGCACCCCCACCCCCATTTACACAGGTACATTTCCCCACATCAGTGCCCTGTGCTCTGAGCAGTTTAAGTTACAAAGCTAAATCAACTCAGTTTGAGCCCTCTGCCTGATGCTTAAGAGACAGCCCACTTCCCATTCCTTCCACTGAGTGGCTCACAGTAGTGCTGGGGGAGGATATAGAGGGAGAAGGCTGGGTCTAATTTGAGAGCAGTCTTGCCAGAAAAAATGAAATTGAGCTATATATGAAAAGATAGAATGGAAGGAAGGAGGGTTATGTACATCCCAAATACCAGAAAAAACTTGAGTAAAGGTGTGGAGACGGGGTGGTGTTACCAAGTAAAGGGGCTTGATGCCTGATGTGCTAAAAGCCAATATTATAACACTGGGTTTTTGAGAAAAGAAAAGCTATTTGTTGCAGATCAACCTTTAACTCTTTGAGACACTGTTTCAGTGGATGGCAGGTGAGAATGTCTATTCTGGCAAGTTGAGTAGACCTGGGTATTGGAGCTTTTGTACTGAACAAAGCCAACTGCAGCCCTGCCAGTCATCCTAGGCTCCTACCTCTCACCTCCCTACTCCCACATCCAATCAGCCACCAAGACCTACCTATAAGACTGTCTACTGAAGTCAGGCACAGTGGCTCATGCCTGTAATCCCAGCACTTTGGGTGGCTGAGGCTAGTGGATCACAAGGTCAAGAGATTGAGACCATCCTGGCCAACATGGTGAAACCCTGTCTCTACTAAAGATACAAAAATTAGCTGGGTGTGGTGGCATGCACCTGTAGTCCCAGCTACTCAGGAAGCTGAAGCAGGAGAATTGCTTGAACCCAGGAGGTGGAGGATGCAGTGAGCTGAGATTGCACCACTACACTCCAGCCTGAGCAACAGAGCAAGACTCTCTCTCGAAAATAAAAAGAAAGAAAATAAAAAGAAAGACTGTCTAGTGAATCTCCCAAATCCATTCCCTTCTATTCCACCCATCTATACCGTGGTCCAGGACACCATTTCTCACTTGGATTACTCTAATAACCTCCTTGCTGTCATTTTACCTCCAGTCCATGCTCCACACTGCAGCCAGATTGATCTAAAACTGATCATGCTAATTTACTCCTTAAATCTTCAGTGGCTCTTCATTGTCACCAAATTAAATCCATATTCTTTAAATTGGTATTCAAAGCCAATCACAATCTCACTCCTATTGATCTCTCTAGCCTTCACTCCCTCTGATCCCTTCTAAAGACCCTTCACTTCCACCAAACTAGACAATTTTCAAATATGCCCCGGAATTTTCTGCCAGTGTGTTTGCTTATGCTGTGACCTCTGTTTATTTTATTATTTATTTATTTAGAGACAAAGTCTCACTCTGTTCCCCAGGCTGGAGTGCAGTGGTGCAATCATACCTCACTGCCGCCTCAAACTCCTGGACTCAAGAGATCCTCCCACTTCAGTCCCCCAAGTAGCTGACTCCAGGCATGCACCAACACACAGGGTCTCACTTTGTTGCCCTGGCTGGTCTTGAACTCCTGGCCTCAAGTGATCCTCCTGTTTTCGCCACCCAAAGCACTGGGATTACACACAAGTCACTGTGCTCAGTCTGTGACCCTCTTTTTAAAATACACACCAGTAAGTTTATGTCTTTTTTGGAGAAATATAAATAATAAATAAATGCACACCAGATTCTCTTCCCCACATCAACCTGACAGTTGACTTTCCAGCCTTTAAGACTTAGCATCCAAGAAAGCCTTTTCTAATTTCAGAGGACCCTCATCTGGCCCTGTCATTGCACTAGCCATAGTAGAGTCATTTCTATTGTTCTTAGTGGTTCTGCCTCTCTATTAGAACTCTCTGTAGCCAGGTGCAGTGGCTCATGCCTATAATGCCAGCACTTTGGGAGACCGAGATGGGGAGATTATTGGAGGTCAGGAGTTCAAGACCAGCCTGGCCAACGTGGTGAAACCCCATCTCTATGAAAAATACAAAATTAGCTGGGTGTGGTGGTGTGCACCTGTAATCTGAGCTACTTGGGAGGCTGAAGCCGGAGAAGTTCCCTGTCATATAATACATGAACTGATAGTAGACATGAAGGGGAACAGACCTAACCACAGCAGTCACATTTAAGCACTGACACAGATTTCGCTTATCTGTTACAGCAGTTAATACCAGCTACAATCAAGTAAGTAATGGTTATCCCACTCTGTCCCATTAATGCACAACCCCCAGGTATCCTGTGTAGACCTGTGTCACGTGTTCTGCACTATAAGTCAGAAAATCCCAGTAAGTGATGCAGGTATATCCATAGCACTTTGTGTGAACAGCCGCAACCTCCACAACTACGTGATTTAGCAAGTTCATTGCAGGTTATGTTACAGGTCTTTGGTTCAGGCTTCTTGTGACATCTCTTCTCCATGTTCAGTGTGTGAATGTGGGTACAGACTGTGTTTCAGTGGAATCCAATTTTTGGATGTACAGGCCAAGTGGACCAAAGCAAATATTGTGTATCCTAAAACTAAAAACAAAGTTTGCATTAATCACACCTTCGCTTTGCTGATTGGTCAACCTCGAAAACAAGCTTGCTGGCTGGGAACAGTGGCTCCCACCTGTAATCCCAGCACTTTGGGAGGCGGAGACTGGCGGATAACCTGAGGAAGGAGTTCAAGACCACCCTAGCCAACATAATGAAACCCCGTCTCTACTAAAAATACAAAAAATGCACCAAGCATGCTGGCAGGCACCTATCATCCCAGCTACTTGGGAGGGTGAGACAGGATAATCCCTTGAACCCAGGAGGCAGAGGATGCAGTGAGCCAGGATTGCACCACTGAACTCCAGCCTGGGGAACAAGAGCAAAACTCCATCTCAGAAAAAAAAAACAAACCACAAAATTGCTAATAGGGATTTTGTAGACTAATATGGTGTTGAGCATGGTAACAAGAAAGTCTGTCAAAAGTAGGAAAACCCCATCCTGGGCAACATAGGGAGACCCTGTCTCTACAAAAAATTATTTTTTTGTTTTAATCAGCTATCCAGGTGTGGTGGCTCACACCTGTGGTCCCAGCCACTCAGGAGGCTGAGGTGGGATAATTGCTTGAGTGCGGGAGGTTGAGGCTGCAGTGAGCTATGATCACATCACTGCACTCTAGCCTAGGCAACAGAACAAGACTGTCTCAAAAACAAAAAGTAGGAAAACCCCTGATGGGCTCAAGTCAGAGGTTAAGTACATTTCTAGCCTCTTTAGTAGTGTCAATTCATCATTAACTGATAAAAGTTTTTTTTGTCCTGGTACAGAAGCTCATGCCTGTAATTTTAGCACTTTGGGAGGCCAAGGTGGGCAGATCACTTGAGGCCAGCAGTTTGAGACCACCCTGGCCAACATGGTGAAACCTCATCTCTACTAAAAATACAAAAAATTAGCCAGGCCAGGTAGCATATGCCCACAATCCCAGCTACTTGGGAGGCTGAGGCACAAGAATTGTTTGAACCCAGGAGGCAGAGGTTGCAGTGAGCCAAGATCATGCCACTGCACTCTAGCTCCTGGGCGACAGGGAGACTATATACATTTTTGAAAAAAAGGTGTTTTTTTTTTTTTTTTTTGAGACGGAGTTTCACTCTTGTTACCCAGGCTGGAGTGCAATGGCACAATCTTGGCTCACCGCAACCTCCGCCTCCCAGGTTCAGGCAATTCTCCTGCCCCAGCCTCCTGAGTCACTGGGATTACAGGCACGCACCACCATGCCCAGCTAATTTTTTGTATTTTTTAGTAGAGACGG